AGAAGCCTGAAGCCATGTAACATCAATGTATTGTGGGACATCTATGTCTCATGCAAACCTCAGTGTTTTATGTATATTTTTATTCAGTACTTAAAACAACTTTCAAGATCAGCACTATTGTCTTTGTGATACAGATGAAAAAAACTCAGGCATAGAGATTAAGTAATGTTCCCCCATTCTCAAGGCCAGTCACTGATAGAGCTAGGAGTACACGGGTGCGCTCCCGTGTCAAGCTAATTTCTTTTAGGTGTTTTGTAGTGCTGAGTTCTCGCAGAGCTGGATCTCGGTGAAGTACTCTGCAAACGCCTGCAACACCGGCCATCAGTCTGGGCTTGCCCGGGCACCCTGCCTCAGATGGCCCAGACCACCCCTCCTGGCAAGGGGACGAGGGGGAACCCCTCTCAGGAGCAAGATGCCCTTCTGTCCTAGGCCTGTGCTGTCTGCCGAGCTTCCAGAGGACACTGTCCCAAAGCCGGAGTCTTTCGGGGTGGGAGGCTGAAACATTGACCTCAGGTGCAATGCAGGGCTCAGAGGTCAGAGGCTGCAGAGGCTGAGCAGTGGGAGAGAGGGGCTGGCGCTAGGGTTCTTAATGTCACCACTCTGAGGCAGGAGTTGGGATACACATTGCACAGGAAGCATCAAGAGAATGAAACCAATAATTCTGGGGACAGGCCATGACAAACGACCAGGACCCAGGATGCTCAAGGGAGAGTGTTCTGAACCCCAGGACTGGACCTTCTACCACAAAGGGACAGTCCCCCAAAGGAAACCTTCACAGCCAGTCAGAGAGGGAACGCAGGTGGGATACAAGAGTCCCACCCGAGGGGGCTGGAACATCACGTAAATGAGAGGCCCAGGCTCTCCCCAGTTTGTGTCTGGCCCCACGCCCTCACCTTGCCAATCTGAATGGTGTTGTCATAGAAGCTGTGGGGACTGTAGGCTTCACTCGTGCCCTCTCCCTCCAACGGCCCTTGTGTTTCCCTCGTCATCTCTGAAACAAAGACCGCAGGCACACCCCTCAGGCACTCAGAAGGCTTCCCAGGCTGCCTGGCCTGGCCCAAGGCACCTACGGAGCTAAGCCGGCTTAGGGATTGGTGGGGTGTGCAGGGGAGGAGGGGACATCACCATAAGGAATGCCGATGGCTCCTGTGTAGGGAGTCCCCACTTTGCTTCCTCAGAGCAGAGACAGAACTGGGTATGAGCATGGAGCTCAGCCAGATGGAGGAACTGATCCAAAGATCTTTATTGAGCGGTTTTTGTCCCAAGGGGGTTCACTGCAGGTGTTTCGGGGAGGTCACGCAGGATGATGTGTAAGGTATTTGGCCTCCTCTTTGGAGAGCGTGTGCGGGGTTGAAGGGAGACAGGCTGTGGTTAGCTTTGCAGCGGAGATACGGTCGGGTTGTAGCGGCTCGGCGGGCCAAGGCGGCGCTCCACTGGGTTCCTGGCAGTGGATGGCCAGCATTTCGCCAGTGCCAGCGGACGGAGTTTCACCTGGGGCAAGGCGGGGAGCACAAGTTTATCCGCCACTTGCTGACTGGTTCAAGGGGAAAAGCAGGAGGAGGGGACTCTGTGCAGAGACTGGCATGTGATTAGGGAAGGGAAAGGGAAGGAATGCGTTGAGGGCGGCTGGGGAAAGGGTTGCACACGCTGGGGGGACTGCCACTGTGCCCTTCTCTTGCCGTGACCCCCTCTCAGCCCAGTTCGACCTGCCCTCTATCAAGTTCTCCATGATTCCCTCACTTGCATCATGTGTTTCCATTATTCTCCTCCCTGGGGCTTGCGTCAGGGTTGAGGGAATGTTGGTTATCTCCTTTCCGCTGGACCTGGCGTGCTGGCCCGGTGAGTGTCCAGGCTGTTGTGATGGGAATGGGGCTGAAGCATGCGGGCACATGATTGGCAGATGGCACGATGAACGAGTGTGGGGTGGGGAGGAAACAAGAAAGAGGACGAGGGAATGCCGGAGGAGTCGGCGAGTTGAGGGCCTGTGACGAGGCAGGACAGTGTGATGAAGCTGGGGGCCAGGATAGGGTGAGGCGGGCTCTGGGCAGTGGACTCCTTGGCAGTTCTTTTTGACGTAGCAAGAGACGGTGCCACTGGCCGTTCCCGTCGTGGTCGTTCGGATTTCATCAACATCTTTAAGCTGGAGGGATCGAGGGACGGAGAGCAGTCAGCTGCATCCCGCTGTAGAGGAACTTGGGCCGGTTCTGCACGTATCGGGGACTTTGTGGGAGTGGATTTTATGGCTGGGATATGTACGTGGTTGCCACCAAAGCCTTCTTCCCCAGCCCCTTTCCTTTTCTAGTCAGAACTCTCCAGTGCCTTTCCTTCGGTGGAGCGAGCTCTTCAGTGAATTTGCCTGGGCTCACTGCAATGGGTCAACATGCCCCACAGTTGCCCTACCTACTTCTTCCCACTCGTCAGTAGAAAAAGAACTTGGCAATAACAAGAAAGTGTCAACTGTATTCACAAATTCAATGGTGAATTATGTGTGAGTTTGTTGGAGAAATATAGTTCTGGGTGGTTCCTATTTGAAAGGCAATGCGTAAGCGTCTCACCACCGGAAAATGACAGGCCCCAAATACCACTGATCCAAATACACATCACTCCCTGTCCGCTGGAAGCCACTAATCTGACAGTGATGGCAGGTAAACAATAGGCAACTCAGAACTGAAAAGGAAGAATAGCAGCAGATGAAAAGCTCCACAACCGACTCCACACAATATTGATGCTACACTGATTAAAAACAAGCAAACACAAAATACCCTTCCGGAAGAGAGGAGGCCCTCCAGTGGGAGCTCTGCATATGTTCTTGTGGCCAGACTCTGATGACATCCCCGAGCCAACACTGTGTTTCTACTAACCAGCTGATACAAAAAGGAACTCAAGTTCCTTCAGAAAACAGTTCATTCCTGGCCAGGGAAGGAAAGTCCACAAAATATTATACTGGAAAGAAAAGAAGCTCCTGCAGATTCCTAGAGCCATGTTAAAAGGACTCAGGAGCCAACTTGAAGAGGCTCCCGCTGACAAAAGATGGGACAATTAAAGCATTAATAGGAAAAATAGTTCTCATTGATCCAGACACATCAAATACTTAAAAATTCATTTTAGATTCCAATGATACAACAGGACTTACCTGTGAAGTAATCTTGCTAAAAAGTAATTCTGAATCCCATCAAGCCTCTAGATCTAATAATCTACAGGAAGTCATGGGACAGAGGAATTTGTTGCAGGACCCTAAAAGGATGTAACCAGTGCAACCCACATGTGGAAAATTTACAGACAAAATGACTTGGTTCTTTTAACAAATACATTTCCAGGAAAATGTGATGAAAGGGGAATCTACAGATGAAGAGACTTAAGTGACCGTCAATGGGAATGTTTGTACCCTTTTAGGATCTGATTCAAGTGAACAGACCTTTTAAAAAACATATTTCTAAGACCAGCAGGCCAAACTAAACGTTGTTTGAATAATGATGACATTGAGACATTGAAACAATGTTACATTTTAAATATAATAATGACAGCATATTTATATATTTTAACAGATCCCTATCTTTGATAAACATACTAAAATGTTTATGGGCAATGGAACAATCTCTACTGGGATGAAATGAGGAAATAAAAAAGGAAAAATACGGATGGATCAAATGACATGGTATTTGCTTCCAAGTAACTCAGGGGAAAGAAGTTGGGGACTGTGAGGGGTCTAATTAAAATGACACAGGCCGTGGCTGACCGTTGAAGCTGACGGTGGCACACGGGGCTCGGAACCCTTTCTCTCCAGTTTGGTAGATGCTTGAGACTTATAAGAAACTTAAACACTAAGGATGCAAAATTGTGAACCATAAACATAGGGACTCTAAACTGTTAAAGGAAGAGATATGATACCAGAAGGAAATTGGGAACATCAGGAATAAAGGAAGACACAGAAATGGTAAATATCTGGGTAAAATAGTAACTCCTCTTTCATGGAACTGTGTGAAATATGTTGACTGGCTCAAAGAAAAGATTATAATGTTGTCAGATGGCATTTTAATGTGTGCAGATGTAACACGTGTGCCCACTCCAACATGAGTGGGGGAAGAGTCCAGGTGTCTATATGCTCAGCGAGTCTCCACATTCTACTCGAAAAAGTGAAATACTGATTGTAGGCGGGCTGTGAAAAGCTACGTGTGTGTACTGTAATCCCTAGAGGGGCCGCTGGAAAGCTATACAAAGAGACACAGTTGAAAACACAATAGGTAAATTAAAATATAATATGAAAATGGGAAAATAAGCCAAAGAAGGCAAGAAAGAGGAAACGGAGGAAGAAAAATCAGAGGGAACTAACAGACAACTAATCAAATGGTAGACCTAAAAGCATATCAATGATTTCTTTAAACATAAATGATTCAACACACCAATTAAGAGATACCAATTATCAGATCCCAGCCCTGATCACCTTCCTGCAAAGCTCTGCACCCACCCTTCATCCTCAGCTCTGCCTCTTCTCCTGTCCCCGATTGTTCTGTTCCCAGCTATACTGGGGTGACAAAATTCACATCCACCCCAAGCCTCAGAATGTGATCCTGTTTGGAAATAGCATCTTTGTGGATACCACTAAGATAAAGTGCGTTCATACTGGATTAGGGTGGGACCTACTTAATCCAATGATTGCCATCCTTATAAAGAAGACACACACACACACACCACACACACACACACACGGGAGAATACACCATGTGAAAATGGAGGCAGAGATTGGAGCGACATGTGTACAACGCAAGGATGCCGAGGGTTGGCAGGAACCACCAGAAGGCAGGGGAGAGGCACAGAATGGAAGAACAGACTCTCCCTCAGGATCTGCAGTGGGAACTAACCCTGCCAGCACCTTGAATTTGGAAGGTGAAGATGCCTTCACATCTGAGAGAGAATAAATTCCTGCTGTACAAGCCAGCCAGTTGTGCCATTTTAGGAGTCCTAGGAAACAAACAACCAACTTTCAAGGGTTCCTCCTCACTCACCTCCAAGCAGGACTGGATCTCAGTGGGCTTCTCCGTGACCAATGCCTCCAGGAGACTCCGGAGAGACTGCATGGTCATGCTGAACAGGCCCTGATGGATGAAGAGGGACTCACAGGACTACTGAGGTAGCAGCCTGCCCCTCCTTCTACACTCGGCTCAGTACCCCCACCCCCAGAAAGGCCCCTTGCTCATGTTTTCCCTGCATTTCCAGGTGCTGCTAGCCTACCGCGGACTTGAATAAATCCTCTGCTTTTTTGACCAGAGTAGAACAGTCTGCCCGTGTGTGTGTTTGTCCTAGTGGAATGGGATTTCCCTGACACGCAGCTCCCTCCCCCGCCATTCTCCCCTCCCTAACTGTGCACATTCTGGGGCTCTGCTCCCAGGGGTGCTGTGGTCTGGAGCCATGACTGGTGGCCAGCTGTCCCCACGGAGGGAAGGGGGCTGGCCTTGCCGTCTGTGCACAGCCGATTCACAAACAGCAGCAGTGCCCTTCCCCTTTCCCCGCACACAGACCGCATGGCCTGCCCAGCAACAGTACCTCTTTGCCTTTAAGGTAAAACCCTAGAAAGAAAGTAGGTGAGCTGCCTGCGAGGGCTCCTGCAAGATACCAAGGCCTCCACACTGACAAGAAGGGAACGCAGCTCCCTGGTGAATGACGTGCTCCAAAGAAATCCACTCCAAGGTGAGGCCATTCCTCCTGGGCAGCGGGATTCCCAGCCCTGTCCCAATGCCCCATTCCCAAGTGGAACCGCACTGAGGAATGCCTCGGGGGGCACAGCCAGAGGAAATCCCACTGAGCTCTCTCTAGATGTGGCCGTCTTCCCTTCGGAACACAAATTACTGTGAACTGACAAAGAACGGTCACCAGACATCTGATACAAAGAAGGCCCAAGTCACACAGGCCAAGTGACCACTCGACACGATCTAGTTCAGTAAACAGTAGAAAACATAGTTCCAAAAAATTCTTATGAGTATCTTCAGAGAAGTTCAAGAGACTGTGGCATCCATAAAATAAGAACAAGCAGCCAAGAGAAAGGAACAGACCACAGGCCAGAGCTCCCAGGCATGGGGCGCGAGCCTGCAGATGCAAACGCCCACCCCGCTTCCCTCCCTCTAGGGAACACCCGGGCCCTGTGGGACATGGAGTCAGATCTCCTCCTGCTGGCATTCCCGGAAGGCCCGTATCCGTGGGCTGAGAGTAAATCCACACTGAACCTTCCAGACTGGTTTCCACTGGGTGACAGTTATAAAGGGCGGGACTGAGTGTGCGCCTTTGGGACAGAATATTCAAGGGTAGCAGTGGCCATGAGTGAGTGCCCCCAAGGAGGGAGCCAATCCCCTGGCTCACCCAGACTGCCTGACCTGGCCAGCTCCTCCTCCTAGGACAAGATCTGTTTCTGTTAAAGGTGGGGGAAGACCCTTCCGTAAAACTGCCAAACCTATCCTTTGCACCCTCTCAAAAACAAATGATAAACACAAGGGGTCGACCATCAGACAGCTCCTTACCACGTTAGCCCGGCCCTCGCTGGGATCAGACACCTCCTCGGCCAGGCCCTCGGAGGCGGGCAGGCAGAGCACACTCTCCCAGCACGTGACGAGGAGCTCTTCTCTGCTGTCTGCGTCCAAGACCGGCCTGAGATTCCTAAGGCCCAGGGGAGAGCAGAGTGTGACCGGCGAGCAGTGGCCAGAAATGACAGTTGAGGAAAGGAAGACAGACGGTGCAGAGGGAGATGGCGGTGGGGGCAGAATGGTAGGCAGAGCAAGAACCAGGGACGTTCAGGAAAGAAAGGGCACTGAAAGAGGAAAAGGGAGCAAACCACAGCCACTGGCACAAGGACCAGGGAAAGGAAAGACAGGAACCAGGGGAGTGAGAGCAGGAACCGCCATTAGAGGCAATGGCATCTGGGCTGGGCGTGACATATTGCTTTCTGGATCCCCAGATGTCCATAGGGAATGCAGGGGGCAGGGATGGACGTGGAGGGTCAAGCTGGGGACAGCCCAGGAAGCAGAATGAAGCCTGGGACAGAGGGGACAGCAAGGCCCCGCAGACAGGGGAGAAGCAAGTGCGCGTGAAATCCCACCCACAAAATCGACACAAAAGAAAGGGCACACACTGTCCAGGACACGTCCCCTACTGACTGGGGACTCTCATACAAGAAGCTGAAGCAGGAAATGAGAGGTGAGGAGGGACCAGGGACAAGAGTGGAAATCAAGCCAGAGCAAGGAAGACAGAGAAGCGGCACGCTGCTACCTGACGTCGGCGATGATGGCCATGGCCTTCTGCCGGATGGGGCTGGAGATGCGGCCCAGTGGCTCGTCCCTGATCAGCTCCTGTGACAGCCCCGCCCCGAAGACCAGGGGAACCATGAACATGTTCATCTTGCCTTCCTACCACCTGCTCCCACCCCATGCCCTGCTCACAAGAAGGTGAGACCTGAAACCTTCAGGGCCTTCCAATGAGCAGGCTGAGAAGGACAGAAGCTCCACCCACTCCCACGCATCCCTGCCCCACAGTACTCACCCCTACCTTGAGGACAGGACAGGGAGAACTACGGCAGGAAGAGGAAACTGGAAAATCTGGGCTTCTCTCCTCCAGGCCGAGCTCAGGACCCTGTTGAGGGTTTCCACGAAGACCACCCTCCCTGCCCTCTGCTCTCCCCCTTCCTCCTGAGAGGCACTTACCACCATGGAGGCTACAAGGTCTAGTTTGTGGGGGGAACCTCGCATGGCAAGGGCATGGGCCGCTCGCCCAGGAAGCTGGTCATCTGCGTCAGGGCGTCCAGGTAGGCCAGAGTCAGAGTCGTATCCTGAACCAACCGGTGTGCTCAGAGTCCTCCAAGGGCCAGAATGACCCTGGGGCCAGGGGCATCCACCCACACGCAATCGGGGGATGAGGAGCAAAGCCCAGCAGGGGCTACCCTAGCCTGAGGCCCTGCATCTGCCCTCTGAATGCAGGTAAGAAACAGGGACAGCCTGTGGCAGCTCTGGGGGGAATGGGCCACCCCTCTCCTTGGCACCCTCTTGGGAGCTCCCCTCCATGGAGCTCTGACACTAGGGTGGGAATAGCCTCCTTGTCTCTCAAGACAGCATCTCCCCCCTGAGGACATTCCACCCTGAGCATGGCCAGCTGGGTGGCAGGTAGACAGGGAGTCGGAACGGTGGCTGCCCGTGCCCTAGGGACACATGACATGCTCTGGACAAGCAGCAGAGGCAGGAAAGGTGCGTGGAGCGCCTTCTGTGTCCCCTGAATGCTACTCCCTAATGACGAGTTGGGAGACTTGGGTGTTGCTCCTCCCTCCCTAGAAGCACAAAGCCAGGGCACAGAGCACCCAGGGGTAAGGAGACACTTTCAACAGACCTCCAATTACTGTGTCCCCTCAGGCCAGTCAGAGGATCAGAGTGGCAGGATCAAGGCACAGAGGACAGAGGGGTGGGAGTGGCAGTGTCGGCAAGAGCCCTGCCCCCGAGCTCCATCCCAGGCCGGGCCTCTTTCCCATGGAGGAAAGAGGGACAGCAGGGCTGGGGTGTGGGCGAAGCAGAGTTAGCAGGTAGCAGGAAGTACCTTTTCCACGATGCAGTGGCCGTAGTGTTCCACGGCCAAGGCCAGAATGGAATCGAGAGGTAGTGAGAGGGCATCTTCAGTCACTGAGATTATCTTCCTGTAGCTTAGGTAGACGGTGCTACAGACCAGCCCCCACTCCCTGTGCTGATGTTCCTGTGGGGGGAAGGGGGACTTGCCTTCTCCTTCCTCATCCTCCTCACCTGATGGGGACATGGAGGCTCGGAGGGAAGAGGATTGCCCAGGGGACCCAGAAGGGAGGAAGGGCTGGGGAACAGGAATGACTGTTGGGCAGGGAGCTGCTAATGACAGGGCCTGAATCCCGGGCACGGGGGAGCCCGGGACAGGGCGGGCGCAGGAGAGAATCAGAGGGAGACAGGAGGCTTTCTGGGGGAATCAAAGGCCTGGAGAAGGGCAGAGGCTCTGGCGAGGGGAGGCCTTGGAAGGCCGTGTGCGGGAGGCTGGCAGCACTCCTGCCAATGCCGTCACCTTGGTCAGTGTCAGGACACACGATCTGTCCTTGTCGGTGAGGTTCGCGCCGTACACTTCCAGCTGGTCCAGAGCTACCCTCAGGTGTCTCAGGGACACGATAGCGAGTGCCACGGCGATGCCCTGTAACAAGGACAGCCCCGCCCCTGCTGTGCTTCCAGAACCAGGGATCCAGAGGGGGGAGGAAAAGGCAAGAAAACACACGCAGGGGATTTTGGCTCCGGGGCTTGAACTGTGTAAAATCCAGATGGAGAAGCCAACATCTGTACAAGAGGAGATTTTCAAAGCAAGGGAATCCAGACGTTGAAAGTCAGAGTGACAGACGTGGGAACCTTGCAGGTGAGAGCCCTGCACTGCAGAAGGGAGAGCACTGATTCCCACCAGGAACTCAGGGGACGGCTGAGGGGGAACGGAAGAGAAGCGCAAACCCGGGGCGTGTTTCCGCAGGGGCAGGGGGCCTCAGAGAGAGGAGGGGAGATGGCAAACGGAAGACTCCAGACAGTGCCAGTGTTTCTGGTCTAGGAGGACAGGGCACAGCAGGGGCTCTGATCCCAGGGTCAGGGAGAACAGGGGGCCTGTCATGGGTGGGGGAGAGAACAACGGGAGTCCTGGGTGCGTCCTGTGAGATGCAGGGACAGGACACATCAGTGGCTGACGGGACTGAAAGCTGGGGCTCCAAGGGCAGATGTGGGAATCCACAACCTAGCGAGAGGCAGCCTGGGGATGGGCAGGCCCTGACAGGATCAGCCTTTAACTCAAGCCCGGCCACATCCTGGCAGGGGCTTTGCCTGAGTGTTTGTCAGCCAAGTGTGCCTGGAGCTCCCTGCACAGGGGAGCTGAGCACCCAGCTAAAGGACGCCCATGGCATAGGTGCGGCACCTGGTGTTTGCCACCAGATGGTGTCTTCTTCCCATGGGAGGTGGCACCATGAAGACTCTGCAGCAGGAGGGGGCAGTGTGGGGACAATGGGCACAGCAATAGCGGCCCAGGACACAGGTCATCAGGATGAAGAGAGGTGCTCGTGGGACTCAGAATCGTTTGGCCTCCACGTAGATAAAGGGAAGGTTTTGCCAGGTTAGGAAGCAAGGACCAGTGGAGCATCACACGGGGTTCTATTCTGTCCATCTTCTCATGCCCTGCTTAGCTGAGGGCTTCCACGCAGCCTGGTTGTCACCATCATAATAACTCGCCAGGTGAGCGCTGGCTTTGTGCCACCCTCGCACGTGTTATCTCACTGATCCTCTCGCTAAAGCTCTGGGGAGATATTTTCATCCCGATGTCACAGACACTGAAAATATAATGGTTCCCAAGTCTAGACATCCACCTCCATCTGAGCCCCACATGGCGATGGATCTCTCCCCCTGGCTGTCCCAGGGCACCCCAACCCCTCCTGTCCAAAACTGAACACATCATCCTGCTGCCCCTTTTCTCCTAGATTTCCTGACTCGGAGAGATACCATTGTCCTCCCCACAGAACATGCCAGAAACCTGGACACATCTGGACACCTCCTGCCTTTATCCTCATACCTGCATGCAGTCTGTCCCCAAGTACTGGCAGAGGGCTCACTGCGACTTCCCCATCACAGAACTCTGCATTCCAGTCCAAGCAGACCATGCACTGCTCCCTAGGAACACCCCAAACTTTCTTGCTACTCTGTCTTGGCTCAGAATGTCACTGTCACAAAGGAAGACCTGTGTCCCCCGTTCTCCCCCACGAGCCTGAACCAGCCCATGAATCTCTGTCTCTCAGGGACCCCCTGGAACCTTCAGTGAGACTTTCCTGTATAGTGAGGGGTTTTGTCCTGTCCATGTCTTGTCTCCCAAGTGACACTGTCTGCTACCTGGGCTCAGGACGAGCTGACCATAGCGTGTGGTGAGGGAGGGTGCTCTGGGGGCCCTGCAGAGAAGAGGTCAGAGGGTGTTGCTGTCAACTCCACCTGTAGCTAACACAGAGTGAGGGCTACGCCAGGCATTTTTGTAAGTCCCCTTACACCTTTCATCCTCAAAACTGCCCTAGGACACACAGATCTTCTGTGGTTCCCCCTCAAACACACATCTCATCATGAGGAACCAGGAGACAGACCAGAAAGGAGGGAGTTTCTACAAAATAAATGGTTTATACCATAAAATGGCAAGATCATGAAAGATGAAGACAGAGGAACTGTTCCAGGTTTAAAATGATTAAAGAAAAAGGACAACTAAATGCACTACCTGACGGTAAATTAGATCCTGCACCAGAAAAGTCATTCTTCCATTTGCCCTGAAGAACACTGCTTGGAGAATTGGGAAATTTTGAATCAACTCTATAAATTAGATGACAGCACTGTAGCAATGTTAATGTCCTGATTTTGGTCATTGTCCTGACGTTACGTGAGAGAATACCTTCATTTTTAAGTAACACTAATAGACATATTTAGAGGGAAATGAGTAGCATGGCTGCAATGTTCAGGAATGAATCACAAAAGAAAATAATAGCGTGCATATATGTGGAGTGAGAGAAGGAGGATGCTGTTATGGGAAAATGTTAAGATTTCAGAAATCTGGGGAAGGGTTATAGAAATTCCTTGTGCTGTTGTTTTTTTTGTGTTTTGTAACTTTCCTCTAACAGTGAAATAAAGGCATTTTAGAAAATATTCTATGAGGAAGGTCCCGAAGCCTCATTTGGCAGTGGAGGAAACAGAGGCACACACAGACACAGGAACAGCCCCCAGGGTGCACAGCGAGTAAGTGACAGAGCTGAGATTCCAACCCAGGCGGTCTGCCTTGCCAGGTCCCGCTCTGGCCACTAGGCCATCCTCCCTCTACAACACTGAGCAACCCTCTTTGCCAGGGACCTCCACCTCACCTCCCTCTGCTGCGGCTCCTCGTGGGAGGCGTTCAGCACTGCAGAGAGCATCCTCCGCACCAGGTCCGGACTGCTTGAGGTCCGCAGGGTGAAGGCAAAGAATTTGTAGAGGAAGGCCTAGGGTGGTGGGAGGGGGAGTTCAGGGATAGTGAGGAATGAGGCCAGGGCAGCTGGGGGGGGCCCTAAGATTCCACACCCTTCAGCCCTCACTCTCCCAGCATCCTGTCCTCCATGCCAGCCACCTCCCTCCCCCGGTCTCCACAGGATCTCTGAATAAGTCACAATGTGACAGGGCAGGGTTTCAAGCTAGAGGGAGGAGAAGACTGCATTTCTAACTCCTCAGCCTCTCAGGGGAGGGGCCTCGTGCCATCAGGAACCTTCCCTTGTCCACACTCTGCCCAGGTCCAGCCAGAAATGGAAACAGCGCCTCACATTCGCATAACGTGGAAGTCACCACCGCATCATCAAATAAGGGCATCTCCCTCCTCTCTCTCTCCCTCCTCTGAGTGTCATGACCCTGTCCCTGCTGACGGGCCTTCGTGCCCTGTCTACCCTGCACTGCTGAGAGGTGTGTGCTGTGCCTGCTCGCCCCCCAGGGCCTTGGCGTTTCCTGTTTTCTCCACCTGCTTCTCCCGTCCCTGGGCCTGCAAAGGGCCATGTCCCTCTCACAGCTCAGACACTGCCTTAGGAGCCTCCCCTGGGCTCCCGGCTCCTCTCCAGCAACCGCAAGGCGCTTTCCTTCAGACCTCGCCACAGCCACTGACATCTCCCTTCTGCATCTGTCATGTCAGCTCCTGGCTCTCCACCCCACATCTCTGACCGGAAAGGAGCTCAGAAGCGCTTCTCAGGAGCACCGTGTGCCTCGCCCTTCACCAGTGCCCAAGGCAGCGTCTGACACAGCGCTCACAGGACGTGCCAGTGGTTCAATGACGTCTCACCTGCGCTCAGCTCAGCCCCTAAGGCCGCTGCCCACGAGCGCCTCTCCCCTCTCTGGGAGAGGCTGCTGGTGCCCCTGCAGACCCGAGGGTCCTTCTCTCTGGTGGCTGCAGCCTTCCCAAGAGCGCTGCCCCACGTCCATGGCGGCCTCCTTGCCCGGAACTGCCTGGGAGTTGAGTCCCCCCTCTCCGCGCCTTGCTCCAGAACAGCCACAGAAGTCAGTGGCTCAGGGGTGGGGGCGAGAGGGTAGGCACAAACACCCCCTCCCTGGGCTCCAGGCAGGAGAGGCTGCAGTGCGACTTCCCTGCAGAGCTCCCACGGCAGCAGACACCCTCGCTCAGCTTCTGCCCTCTCCTCCCCTGCTTCCTTCCCTCTGCTCCAGCTTTCTGAGGCTGCTCCCCAGAGACCTCACTGCACAGGAATCTCCACCTCAGGCTCTGCCTCCACAAAGCCTGACCTGAAGCTCCTACTTCTCTGCTGGGCTGGCGAATTCCTGTTCATCTTCCCAGACAGATACACTCCTCTGCAGGGGGGCCAATCTACCCACGTTGCCCAGTGCTGAGGGGCTGCACAGAACGCTAGACTTTTGGTGCAAAGCCAGGACTGTCCTCAGTAAACGGGTGAGCTACTCTAGGAAACTTCTCTGTTCAGCGCCACACAGAGGCCCAGGAGCAGTTCCCTGTGGCCATTTACTCAGCTATGCACTCAGGCTGACGAGGGACTTCTGAAGGCAGGGTCTGGGTCTTCCATACGCTACCCAGAGCCCAGCACAGTGCCTGTTGTGCCGTGGGCACTCAGTGCATGTTTCAAATTGCTGAATTTTTAGATGGGGAATCCTGCTTGCTTTACTTTGCATTTCTAATCATACCCTCCACAAAGGCCTGCATACACCAGGTATTCATAAATCCTTGTCAACAACAGGAGAGCAACCAGCCAGTCCTACAAATGAGGACTCTTTCCTAGAGACCCTTCCTAAGCCCAGATGAAGTGTTGCTCAGTGACAGGAAAAACAAGATTAGGAACTGAAACCTGCATCCGAGTGCCGGTCCCACCAAGCATTTGCTTCAGACTCTAAGTTCCCCCGGATTCTGTCTGTTCACTGTGGACATGAGGATAGTGACAGTGACAGGGTCGTTTAGCCTTTGGACTTTACAAGGCACCTGCACAGGGATCCTCCGGTTTCATCCTGGTCAACTCTCCTGAGATGAACAGTTATTTCTGCCTCTTCCCAAGGGAGGCAGCTGAGACCTCCCAGATCTTAGGACATTTGCCGCCGGAGCGCTTGGAAGAGCTGGGGACGGGACCCAGGCCTTCCCCAACACAGACCTCGAGCTCTCAGAGGGAGGTTCCCCAGCTTCTTACTCAGCCCTGGACCCCCAACACCAAGCACGATCCCTAATCCATGGGATGCTCTCAAACATTAAGGGATTAACTTCCGCATCTGAGTTGAGGGGCAATAACCTTAACACGTCACGCAAGCGCCAGCTGCACTCTGCTCCACACCAGCTGGGGGCCAGAGAAGACGACAGATGGCACCGTGCTTGAAGAAGCCTAAACACCATGCACATGTCACACGCTCGAGCTTACTCATGTTCCTGGTGACACACCAGCTCCCTGACCTCCTGTCCCTTAGTGCCTAGGGGCCCGGGGACTCCGCTGTGCTCTTCCTCCACAGCCTGTCCTCATGAGCACGTCCACAGCCCTTCGGGCCAGGCGCCTCCACCACCCGCTCCACCCAAGCACGGCCCTCCCCTCCCCAGCCACACACACAGACGCACCTTCTGTTCCTCCTCGTCACTGCCATTTTCTATCCTTTCCAGGGTGGTCACAGTCTGTTGCTCCAGCCAGCTGTCATCACTGATGGCCTCCAGTGACCTGCTATAAAACTGAGGAAGAGGAAGAGAGAAGAGGCCCACTCAGAACTGTGGAAGGGCTTTCTGCACCTGGAAGTGGGGGAAGAAAGAATCTAGCAACAGGGGGTGCTATCTGGAAAGAGGGAGAAAGAGTTCCAGAAACGGGAAGAGCTGAAAAACCAGGGGCAAAGGTGTGGTCAGGACAGAGAATGACAATACAGTGACAAGGAAGGTAATGCCACCCGCACGTGGAGGCAGGCCCCTTTCCAGTTGACAAGCCCCTCTCCCATATTATCCTGTTTGCTTCTGGTGATAGGACTGAACATTCCCATATGACAGACGGAGTAGCTGAGGTCTAGAAAGGTGAAACCGCTTGCCCAAGGACACCCCACCAGGGCTCCTCCCTTCCCTCTCCATGGAAGGAGGGGCCTTGAGAGCGAAGAGGGAGGTTGGGGCTGAGAGCAGAGTCTGAGACTCTGCTGAAGGCACCAGGAGCACAGGTGCCAGAGCGAGGTTCCTGTGCTAAGGGAGGTCCCTTGATGGTGGGGTCCCAGGGACTCTCCTCACTAAGGGCCCTGAGGAGGAAGCCACACTGGGGGAGTGAGGGGTCTCAGGGAGGGCTCACCTGGAGCAGCCTGTCCTCCCACTCCTCCTGATCCAGGCTCTTCTCTGTGTGTTCTGTGACAGGAGAGAGCATGGCTGCTACCAAACCAAGGGCCCAGCAAGAAGAGAGCCCATGCTGGAACACTAAACTGGGGGCCACAAGCCCAGCCTCTCGGCTCCTTCTCACCACAATTCTACACCAGAACTGCTGTCCCACTTCTCAGAGGCCCCAAGGTGAGAGCAACAATCACAAGTCAAACACACAGCTGGTTAATGTCCAAGAAGGATTCGAATCTGGGTCTTTCTGGTCCCAAGGCCCAGCCTCCCCCGGTCCTCCAGCACTGGAAGGGGCAGCAGTTGGTCTGGGAACTCTGGAGCCACAGAGCTCTGGCCTTCCCGTGCGCACACCCATCCAGACAGCACCCAGGGCAGAGGGGCTGGTCCCAGTGCTCCCGCCCCAGGGAGTCTCGCCCTATGCCTGAGGACTCCCGCCTTTCGAGAGTGAGCCCACTGCCCAGCTCCCTTCCTCCAGCTCCCACTGTCCCTCACCATACAGCATCTGCAACATCTGGGGGATCTCCGTGCTCCACAGCTGGTCCACGTCTGCGCTGGCGACAAGGCGCAGGGCGGTGATGGGACCCAGGGCTTGGAGGAGCCTCAGGGAGCTGACTCCAAATGTGTTCTCGCGATAGGGCTTCACAGCATACAGCTGGCAGGCGAGAGAAGCCCCAGGAGACGCAGAAGGATGAAGGGGAGGGAAGGAAGAGCATGAGAACAAACCCACGGGACGGCAGAGCCCAAGCTCAGCACTCCTGTTCTTCTCCACCTGCGCCCGTGTTCCCTGCATGCCCTCAGCTGTCCCTGCTCTGCGATACTGCCGCCGACCATGGGTGGGGGCCAGACAGCAACTGCTCTGCTGAGTCCCTTCCCCGATAGGCTCCTCTGTTAGTGCACGGTCACTCCTCACTCTGGATGGCGAGGTCATCCCCAGGGTCACCGCTCTCACTCACACTGTGAATAGCTCAAGGGCAAGTACAAGGGCCATCTGTCCCTTGTCTGTCCATGGGTTCATAATGTCTAGCACAGTGCAGGGCCAGTAGAGAAACTAAAAATGTACTTGCTGAGAAAATGAGCTCTGGAAAGGCACGGGGATTGGCCCAAGTTCACAGACAGAAGCTCACAAGGAGGACGCAACGGAGATGGCTGGGCTTTCCCCATCTGCCATCTCTCAGGTTCCGCGGGCCCCAGCACCTGTGCCCAGTGCCCCCTCCAAGCCCTGTAGCCTGGGCTGCCCCTGCCCAGGGCCTCCAGGATCCCTGGCCCCAGCTCCTTATTCTATCCCCAGGGCAATGGCTGGGACAGCGCAGGATGCAGCTACTGTGGAACAATCCGGTAGACAGGTAGACAGCGGGAGATGTCCATCCTGGCATCACTTACCACCAGATGGCTCAGCAGGTGCTGTGGGGAGACGAACTCAGGCGCTACATCAAAGAGGTGATGAAGGAAGAGGACAGCGTCAGTGCAAGCTCCAGGGGTCCCACCTCCAACCCCAGCCAGCAGCCCACCCTCAGCAGGGCAGGGGAGGGGCACAGGCACCATGGAGAAGGTGAGCCGAGGGACCCGGACATTGCCACTCAGCCTGAAGCACAAACACTGCAATTCCAGCTCACAGAGTAAACCGTCACCCACTCAGTGTGGAGCGGACACCCTCACCCCATCCCTTACTCCACTGGGATGAAAGGTGAGGGGTGGGGAGTGTAGAGTGAGGCCAGAGCTGGGGCAGGGGAGTCGCCAAGGTCCGGATGCTGTGTGCACCCACTGTGGCACTTAGTCATTGCCACTCCTGGCCTCCAGGGTTGGAAAATGAGGAGCGAAGGCCAGAGGGCCTGTAGGGGGTGGCTCTCTTGCAGACAAGGCTCCATTCCATCCCTGCTGAGGGCCAATGGGCTCGGGCTGTGGCCCTAACCCTTGGCTGACCGGCCTGAGTCGTGCGGTTCACAGCCTCACCACAGCACAGACCCGAACCCTCACACCTGCAGGGTCTCAGCCTGGGCCCCCCTCCCATGCCTGGGGCAGCCCCAGTGCCCGTGGGCTCCCCCAGCCCCTGTGGTCTCCCCTCCCAGTACTCATGCCTGATGGGATGGTGCTGAGGTAGGGGCGCTGCCCCAGGGCTTGTTCCCTCAGAGCCACCTCTGTGGCGCTGTCACTCAAGACCACGAAGGCTGAGGTGTTGCCAGGCTCACATAGCAGGCGGATCAGTCCGGGCAAGGACACCTGGGAGGGGATGTGCCAGAGGGTCAGTGCCAGCCCTGACTCAGCACCACCACGTGACCTCCAACCCCATGACCTTGGGTGCTTGTCCTGCAGGGACCTGTGAGGCCTGCAGCCGCCTCTTCCCCAGACAGGCCTATGCTGTCTGTCTCTGACCCTGCCTCTCTCTCCTCTCACCCCGGGTTGGTAAAATGTCACCATGGTCCTTATTAAAATAACACCAGGAAGGACTTGATCAGAGGGCTTTCTGGAAATTTGGAATGGTGTGACTTTGTCATCACCTTCACTGGGGAACATTCCACAGGCAGAAGAAACACGAGAGGTCAGGACTCAGGGCTTCATGGGAGGGAAAGTGGCTGCCTGCAGGGAGGACAGGACCTCCCAGCTGGGCCCTCCATGGCCTCTTGCCCCTCCATAGCACACCAGCTCCCAGGGCCCCCAGGGACCCTTGGAGGCTGCTGTGAGTGGACAGGGCATACCATCTCCCCCTTTCCTACAGAAGGAGAAAGTCAGCTCATAGAGCAATTTGCTCAAGAAGTCACAGCCAGACGCTGGCAGAGGGACTCCAACTCCAGACTCATCACCCAGCAACCATCATGTGCTCCCCTGAACCCCTTCTCAGAGGAGGCCCAGGCCCCGGAGCAGGAAGACACGGACGTGGGGAGGGGTGGAAGAGAGATGACAAGGGGGAGATGGAGGGCAGGGAGAAGAAGGCAGTCTGGACTCAGGGACTCCAACCGAGAGAGTTATTCTAGGACTGAGCTGAGCGAGCCAGTGAGCCACAGTGCTTCCTGCAGTCTCCAGTTTGCAGACAGCCTCCTTCGCGACTTCTCAGCCTCCACTATCAAATAGTGGAAAATCGGGGAAGATGGCAGATGAGAAACACCGCCAGACAGAGTGTCTCTGCAGAAAAGACAGATTCTAGCAGAAATTAGAAGAAAGAAGCAAGAAGATGAGCCTACATTGGATGAGGGTCGGAAGGAGGAGTACCTGAGACCACGGGAGACTCCACAGGAGGAGGTCACGAAGGAGAACTGGAAGCTGGGACCCCTGGAGCAGCCCGGAGACCAGCGGGAAGTGTAGATGGATAGGCCGTTTCCCCTCCCCTGCATCCCGGACTGCTGGTGGCTCCCCAGCGGGTGGAGAGACCTGCGGACACCAGCCCAGTGACGGCCGCCGCCAGTGAGTGGTGAGCCAGTAGTGGACGTGGCGCCAGGCTCCCAACTCCCTCAGGGCACCTACGTGTGCACAGACATGAGCTGCGCGGCAGACACCATATTGCCTCTTCCTCCTCTCCCCCGACCCTACCCGAGGCTGCCCAGAGAGACGGAGAGACAATATAGCCACCAGCCGGAGGCACCTACAGGGAACGGAACCTTCCCTTTTGGGGTCCTACAGCTAACGAAGGGGAACTCAGACTGTGAGCTCCCTACCCGCCAGCCCTCCCAGGTGCTGCTGGCATGGTAATTCCAGGAGAACGGGGCAGACCCTGAGGTTGAGAGACACAGACCCAGCGTGGGCTCCCTGTGGGTGAACTGGGACCGGCACTCCTCTCCCTGGTGGGGATATAGTTTGAACTGGGACCCATAGGTAAGAACCGCAGACCAGATCCCATCACCGAGGCCTCGCATTGCCTGGGTCACAGAAGGGATATTTGTGAACAGCCTACTGAGGTGTGTGTGCCTTCAGGGGCAGATCAGGATCCTAGAGGGCAACCCTCCCCCCAAAGGGAGGCCGTGCGCGCAGCCCAGGTGGTGTTCCTGCACAGGGAACCTCCCCGCTGGCAGCACAGTCAGGGGAGGCCTGGTGGCGGGAGGTCTGGCCTGATGGCAGAGGCCCAGGAGTAGCCACAGAGTTGGGGACAGTGGAAAGAAGCCAGGCCTGCTCCAGACTGCGGGTCTCAGACAGCCCCACCCCCAGAAGCAGACTCTCTGACTGAGTGGGGCCATTCCAGCCCCTCCCTGACAGCTTTTCCTGGAAGCAGAGAACAGAACTCTGACCCCTGCTAACGACATTTGTGGTGCCCAAGGGCAGGCTTACCCAACCCAGATCTGCCCAGACTTTCTCCTAGAATAGCCCTCACTGAAGGGGAGAAAAGGACACATCTGGAAGTCCCAGGGCCCCACACACCACCTGAGGCACTAGAGTTCTCTCTAGAGGAACAAGAGCTGATAAGAGGACATAAAAACAACAGCGTAGCCTGTTCCTCCAAGCAAGTGCAACCTACTAACAGGGATAGCATCCTGCACACCCTTTTCACGACACCTACTGACTCATTATAAAGGGAGTGGTCGAATCTCACCCACAGACACCACCTAACGGCTCAGAAACTAAACAAGGCGTGTGAATACCCAAACAATAACCTAAGGAAAGAAACAACAACTGATCGACATGGGAAGAAGTCAGCAAAGGAACTCCGGAAATATGAAGAACCAAACGGAAAACACACCACCAAAGAGGAGCCCCAGCCCCCTAGAAACGGGCACCAATCAAAATCAGGCAACCAAAATGACAGAAGAGGAATTTCGTATGTGGATCATAAGAACACTCACCCAGCTGCAACAACAACTCAATAACCAACACAAAGAAACCACAAAAAGCCTCCATGATCTGGAAAAAAGTTCACTAAGAAATAGACACAATGAAGAAATGTTTAACCGAACTCCTGGAAATGACGAATCAATTCAGGGAACTACAAAATAAAGTGGTAAGTCTCAAGAACAGGGTAGATCAAATAGAAGAAAGATTCTCAGAATTTGAAGATAACACCCTCCAAATAAATAAATCAGTCACAGAAATAGAGCAGAGAAACAAGAGAAAAGAGCAAAGCCTACAAGAGATGTGGGATTATGTGAAGAAACCTAATGTGAGGGTCATAGGGTTACCAGAAGGGGAAGAAGACAACACCAAGGGTTGGACAAGCTATTTGAAGATATAATAGAGGAAAATTTCCCAGGCCTTGCTCAAAATCTCGATATACAAGTTCAAGAAGCTCAGAGGACCCCTGGGAGATTCAATGCAAATAGGAAGACGTCACAACATGCAGTCATCAGACTGACCAAAATATCAACTAAAGAGGCCCTTCTAAGAGCTGTAAGATGAAAGAAGCAAGTAACATACAAGGGAAAGCCAATTTGAATAACACCAGACTTCTCTAATGAGACTTTACAAGCAAAGAGAGACTGGGGCCCCACTCTCACTCTTTTGAAACAAAAGAATGCCCAGCCTAGAATCTTATTCCCTGAAAAACTAAGCTTCGTATATGAAGGAGAAATAAAGACATTCTCAGACAAGCAAAGTCTCAGAGAATTCACGAAGACAAGACCAGCCCTACAAGAAGTACTCAAAACAGCGTTACACACGGAACATCATCATAATAACCCACGAATATAAAAACAACCAAAACCCAAAGATTAAAGGCCAGATATTACAATGGCTCAAGACAGAAATCTTAGCAACAACATCCAACCCAACAGAATGAACACTAATCTATCTTACCTATCAGTTCTCTCAATAAATGTGAAAGGCTTAAACTATCCACTCAAGAGACATAGGCTGGCTGAATGGATAAGAAAATACAGGCCAAGTATATGCTGTCTTCAGGAAATACATTTAACCTGCAAGGATGCATATAGACTAAAAATAAAAGGGTGGAGACCAGTATTCCCAGAAAATAGAAGCCAAAAGAAGGCAGGCGTGGCAGTTCTAATTTCAGATGATTTAGTTTTTAAACCAACAAAAGTAGTGAAAGACAAAGAGGGTCATTATATAATGGTGAATGGCACAGTTCAACAAGAATAGATAATAATTTTAAATATATATGCACCCAATTTAGGTGCACCCATTTTCATAAAGCAAACCTTACTGGAGCTAAGCAAATGGATTAACAGCAACTCCATAATAACTGCAGATTTCAACACCCGACTGATGGCACAAGACAGATCCTCCAAACAGAAAATTAATAAAGAAATAATGGACTTAAACAAAACTCTAGAACAATTGGGTCTGACAGACATCTACAGAACATTCTACCCAAAATCCACTGAATATACGTTCTTCTCATCAGCTCACGGGACATTCTCTAAGATTGACCATATCCTAGGACACAAAGTAAACCTCAAGAAATTTTAAAAATTAGAAATCATACCATGTATCTTCTAAGATCACAGTGGAATAAAAGTAGAAATCAACCGTAACTTACAATTCTACACAAAAACGTGGAAATTAAACAACCTCCTACTAAATGATTACTTCATAAATGAAGAAATCAAGATGGATATAAAAATATTCTATGAAGAAAATGACAATAGAGAGACAAGTTATCAACTCCTCTGGGACACAGCTAAAGCAGTTCTGAGAGGAAAGTTTATCTCCATAAATGATGTGCTTGTTTTCCATCTTGGATACTTCACTTAGTAGTATGGGTTCAGCTCTAACCAGGAAAATATAAGATGTGCTATTCACCATTGTTTCTTAAGCTGAATAGTACTCCATGGTATACATATACCACATTTTATTAATCCATTCTTGGATTGATGGGCACTTGGGCTGTTTCCACAGCCTTGCAATTATGAATGTGCTGCTATAAACATTCGAGTGCAGGTGTCTTTTTTGTAGAGTGTCATTGGATCATTTGGTAGATGCCCACAATGGATTGCTGGATCAAATGGTAGATTCACTTGTATCGCTTTAAGGTATCTCAATATTGCTTCCACAGAGGTTGAACTATGGCAGTCCACCAGCAGTGTAGGAGTGTCTCTCTCTCCGCATCCACGCCAGCATGTTATTTGGAGACTTTTTGATAAGGCATTCCACTGGAGGTTAAGGTGATATCTCATGTAGTTTGATTTGCCTTTCCCTGATGATTAGAGATGATGAGCATTTTTCATA